GCGAACTCGGATGTCAATAGGACAAATGATACAGTTACCAGCACAAGCCGGTCCGAGCCCGCCAAGTTCAGACAAGAAGCTAGATAAGATCCTCCAGTTTTTGGTCGACAACCAGCAACGAACCATGAACAACGAGGCTTCCATTAAGCGTCTCGAGACGCAAGTGGGACAGTTGGCCACACGGGTCGGGACCATCGAGACTGAATTGAACAAGGCAAAGTTGCCGAGTCAGCCCGAGCATGCGAATTCAGTTATAGTGCTTATGCCGGAGAAGGAGGAGAAGGCAGTTGTTAAGGAGGAGAAGACTCTGGTGACACCGCCTGTTGAGCCAACCTTGCTCAAGTCCCCTGACCCATACAGGCCGAGGCTTCCCTTTCCAAGCCGACTGTTGGAGGAGAAGGATCATGAAATGATGCGGGACCTCTATGTGATGTTGAAGAAGGTGAATGGTGACTTACTGCCTGTTGAGGTGATGAAGATGATATCGGGTTATGCACGACTTCTTAAAGAATTGGCAACGAAGAAGAAGCAACTCGGAAGTAGCGACGACGTGTTCGTATGCGAGGCGGCAAGTCTCTTTCACCATGACTTGCCAAGGAAAGAAAAGGATCCCGGTGGCTTTGTGATTAATATAGCCTTCATGAGTGAGAAAGAGGCCTCGGGGATGCTCAACCTTGGACCGGGCATAAATCTCATGCCCCTTTCTATTTATCGGCAACTTGGGCTAGACGGATTTAAGCCTACCAGGATGCGCTTACAGCTTGCCGACCGCTCGCTCCGTCGACCCGAAGGAGTTGTTGAGGATGTACTAGTTCGAGTTGGGAGGCTGATTTTGCCTGTAGAGTTCGTCGTGCTAGATGTAGGAGAAGTGCACAAAAATGGGAATGAGCACACCATTCTCCTCGGACGACCACTCATGGCGACCACGAACACGATGATTGACGTCAAGAGTGGGACGTCAAGATGACGTTATTGGGCGAGTCCATCGCCATTTCCGTTCGGGAGACCCAGCCTAAGCCGCAGACAAATTTTGTGGAAGAATGCATGTCCATTAGGGCGATCGAACAGATTATCGACGAAGCGTGTATGAGTGAGTACACGAAGAGGCCACTGCAGTACCATGGCCATGTCGCAAAAAAGTACCACAGCAACCGCCCCACTACCCTCCCCAGCCGAGTTCGAAGGAGTTGCCCCGATCCGAATGGGGCTAGAGATTTGAGTTGGCCTACCGCTGTTCGGGGCCTGATTACCTCCACCCTCACCCTGTACAACCGGATTCACAGTAACTCGTCTAGTCACTGTGCCCTGTACGTCTGTATCTTTTCCTTTCTCTTTATTTTCGTATTTGGTTTAGTGTTTTTGTTTTTTGTGTTGGTTGATTATATGGGTAAACTTTCCTTGCACTGACGATCGACAATGGGGACATTATCTAATTTTAAGTGTGGGGGAGTTTTACATGTTTACGTGACTATATGGTTAACCAGGTCTAGTTCTTCTTTTTAGGATTGCTTTTATTTTCTTTTCTCTTGCTTTGTGGACCGGTCTAGTTTGTAGGATTATCTGCTTGTGTCTTTCTGAGCTTGAACTTTGGTGTATTGTAAGACTAGTTGATGATTGACTGATTGGGTTAGGAAGTTGTGATGATGAGAATGAGTGGCACATTTTGATGAATTGGCTTGGTTGTTTTGTGGACAGTTATTTTACCTTGTGAGGTTTGAGCTACGTTCATTTATTTTCTCGTGAGTTATTGGTCAGAATCGTTGTCAATTAGAATTTGCCTTGAGTCTACTTAGAAATGAAATAATTGGATTTGTGAACGTGAATATGATTGAGCATTCATTGTATTTCCTTCCCCTTTTCTTTTTCTGAAAATAACTTCGCTAGTCACCCCCTTTGAGCCTTATTGATTTTCTTTCTTTTATAACCTCGTGACAATGATATTGTGGAGTTTCGGGCGTAGAATTGGAGGTGATTCGTGTTTGTATATGTATATATATAAAAAAAAGCGAAATCGAATAGATAAAATGTCCAAAGATTCTCACAAACAAAAAGAGAAAAAGAGAGAAACCAAATGGATTACGTGAAATGTCCAAAGTTTCTCACACAAAAAAAAGTAAATATAGAAATGGTGAATAATTTGGGAAGTATGTTGGTTTTGGAATAGTGGGAGGAACCGGTTGGTGTCAGCAACCAGAGGAGTTCATGATTATGGTTATCTGATTGAGTTGAGTTGATTTTTATTTTGCCAGCTAGCCTATATTTATCCTACGCGATCCAAAGAGCCTTCGTTACATCCCTTAAAGTCCTCTTGATTCACTGTTTCACTATTTTGATTGTTTTAGAGTAGGAGTTAGACGATAGGCAAACTTTTGATTGATTCGACTGACGACCAATTTGAGTGTACCCAGTTGATATTTGAAAAAGAAATTGAGTGAGGCACATATGATATACTTTTGTACTTGAGAGTCTATGTCCTTCAAAATAGCCAAGTTAATAGTTGAGGTGTGCTCTTGTAATCAATTGAATTCTTCTTGACTTGATTGATTGGTTTGAGATTAGTCTTGCTTGAAACGTTGTCCTTGCTCATTTGTTTATCTTTCTTTTCTGTTCTTTTCTTTTTGTTCAGGACGAACAAAGGTTTTAGTGTGGGGGAGTTGTTTGTCCAATTATTGTTGCTATTTTTGATAGTATTTTGCGTGTTTTTCCCCCCGTTTTAGGTTGTTTCTTAGGTGTTACCGGTCCTTGTTTCTTAGGTGTTACTGATCCGTCTAGTCATTTCTCGTGTTTTAGTGTTATTTAGTTGTGTTTCGTGTTTTTGTCTTTTCTCCTATTTTCTCTTTCTTTTCGTGTTTGTCTGGTTTTGGTGGTTTCAGGTTGTTCTGATTCCCAGGTGTTTCATCCCAGTTCATGCGACCAAACATGCAAAAGTTGTGTTTTCAGCTCGGGCAGTACCCGAGCAACGCGAGCCGAGCACGCGAACCGAAGGAAAGCAACTTTTGGACCTCTCAGGGCCTTAGCGCCGCTAAGGTTAAAAAGGCTAGCGGCGCTTCCTTTCTTAACGAGGGCTGGTCCGAACAACTAAGATACCTTAGCGGCGCTAAGGCACCTTAGCGCCGCTAAGGTCTGTTTTTATGAAGACGCGATTTTCGTGGATTTTGAAATGGGGGAGGATAATATCGGGCCTAAGGCATGATTTTGGACATTCCAGACTTTGTATTTCGAACTTGGGCACTCCATAACTCATTTTTCTCTTAGTTTTCATGGGATTTTGATCTTAGATAGTGAAAACTCCAAGATAGAACTTGTGGATTTGGATTATTTGTGGTGTTTCGACATTGGATTCGTATTTAATTGTAAGCTTTCTTTTTTCATTTTATCTATGATGATGATGGCTTGGATTGATGTGTATTTCGTTGTTGAATCGATGATGAGTAGCTAAATTTGTTAACTAGGGCTAGGGGATGATTGTTCCGGTTCAATTTCGTTTCTACGTATGTTGATTGCTCAATCTATTCGAGTTGTTTTGAACCTAGGGTTGGATGATTGATCACCATCTTAATCTATGTAATTGATTTTAGAACAGGAAGGGGAGGAATCGATCGATCTAAGCTCGTTTAGAATAGACTTGTTCGGAAACGTATTGTCTATGTGCTAATTGGTTCGATAATTGATCGTTTACGTTTATTCTCTTGTTACGTGAGTTATTGAGAATGAATCTCTGAATGGGTGAGTTTTTCGAGTTTCTTAGCCGAGTGATCGATTGCTGTTTAATTTATTGAGAGCCGGAAATGATTGTCCTCGACACCCTAGTCCATTTTATCATTATTTGAATTGTGTTTTGGGGTGTGAAATTGAAATTGTTTGTTCGATATCATTAGTTGTTAATCGCGCAGTTGATAATCAAAACCAACCATTTGAATTAGAGTGTTTAGGATTATTTTCTGTTTCTATGACCGAATATTTGCAAAATTTAATCCGGCTGACCTTCCTTGAGAAACGACCCGGTGTTCGAATCTTTTGATTCTACTCCGGTAAAAATTACTACAACAATCCCCCGTCACGTGTTCCTACGTGTTCCTCGTCATCAAAATGAGGCAGACCCTGATATTGGGTCGACCCCTGGTCATAAAAAATAAGCGGACCCGCCTCTCGGTATAAAAAGTGGTGGGCCCTCATATTCAGTCGACCTTTGCTCATCCTCAAGCCCCCCTGCAAATTCAGGGATGTCAATCCAAAAAGACGACCACCATCTACGATCAATGGTGAAGTTGTCCCCATCCCGTGCTGCCATATGATTGATAGGATTTACCTCGGATACTTTGTCTTCATAAACATCGTCACTGAAGAACGACAGAGTTGATCGAGAGTGGAGCACCCCTGGAGTACCCGAGCACATCCATCACGAACCCCCCATGGTTGCCACATACTCCGTCCGACGTGCGGGTCGTACGATCGCCATGTGCATTGGCATGTTAAGACAATATGATTTCATTGACAGCCACGGTCAGATCCGCGCCTTGGTGCCACAACGCCTTGATCGCGGCATCGTTCCTGGCCTTCAGCATTGTTCCATTTGGGTGACATCGTGTTGGAATCGTACTGATCTGCTGATACTAGTTGACGTAGAGTAAGCGTAAACAATTGGGAGAATCAAGATAGGACTCTCAATATATTTTATTTCTATCAAAACTCAACTCTCTAAAACAATAGAAGAGAAGTCTTTAAATAGAACTCCTAACTCTAAGTAAATATCTTACCCATCAAGTAAAGGACTCTAATAAAATAAATAAGTTTCTTAACAAATCTAGGATGCCCTTAATAAATATTCAGACAAAGGAAATAAATAAATAAATAAAGCAAAGGAAATAAGTAATTAAACCAAAGATGTTAAACGGTCATGCTTGTTCAAAAAGGCTAATGCAATCACGTCTCCATCACCCTCTCTGGTTACCAACGAGTTCAACACCACTACCACCATTAAAAACCGACAGCCCCAAGACCACGCCACTCAAAGAAGAACCAGACCACAGAGGATAAATTCACAGATCTGGACCCTCTGACATTCCTAACAAAAATATTCTACACAGACTTGAGAATTACGAACCAAATCCTACCTTTTCTCCAAACAGTCTGAACAACACCCAGAAAAGCCAAAGCTGTTTTTTCCAACACCCATTGAAAATACAACTGCCAACCTGAGGCTGGAGAGAGGAGCCCAAGAAGGCTTCACTCCCAACCGCACTCAAATCCAGGTTGGCCTAGGTGTGGTCTCATGATAACATGGTCGGTGGTGGCGCTGACGCTTTTTTGGCCACTCCATGGCTGGAGCAGAGGGTTGGGGAAGTGGGGAGGCACAAAAAAAAAAAAAAATTTGTGTAAAAACTTAGCTTTCAAGACAAATGAAAGTCTGTGGAGCCCCTAGGTTTAAGTGGGGGGCTTGTTGCTTTTGTGGAGCTTGGATGTAGAATTTATTCAATCTTGCTGCAACCAACTTTGTTTTGAAGTTGAATTCAAAGATCTAAAAGGAGGTTAATTCTTTTAGGTTGATCTTAGTTTATGCAAGCACTTCTAAGAATGTTGGGGAGCAGCAGTTGGCTTATCTTCTTAGTGAAAGGTCTAAGTGAAGTCAGGAATGGGTTATAGGCGGTGACTAGAATGATATCTGTGTTAGCGCTGAGAAGCAATGAGGAAGAGTTGTTGGTGTGCATACTGAAAGGTCGGTAATTTATTAACACTATTCCCGTCTGAATGAGAGTCATGTTTAATTAAATAGTCTAGGCTCTGATGTTTTACATTTAGATATGGTGGTCCATCACGGACAAGACAGAAGATTAAGTATCGATCATTTGTAAAACATAAATAATTTAGTTCACGACCTAGATGGAATTGAACAACCCATCGTGGATGGTTGTAGTTTCAATTGTCCAGTCTGTCTTGACTGATTGGTTGCATTAATACACTATGTGTATTGTATGAATGCCAGAGAGGATAAGTTTGTTTTATACTGGTCGAGTACACAAACTAGACTTTGCTTAATTACTGCGTACTCTTAACCTGTAAGATATAAATAAGCACGTGCATACAATAGTTGCTAATTTGATTCACTGAAAAGTGAGATTCATTCAGCCGGGTTAAGAAAATGACATGTTTTGGGTAGTGGTGTTGTGTGTATGGTGTGTTGTTCGAATATTTGCCGTCACCGTGTGCGATAGTCTGATGATGTCCCCGAGATGAACTCAAGAAGATTATTATGTTAAACCTCGCCAGTGGAATTCATTCTCACATGGTAATTGTAACGCCCCGTTTCTTTATTAGAAAGCATAGCAAGTTTTGCATTCTTTTATTTTAAGCTCGATAAATTTTTTAATCTTGAAAATTTATTTCTAAAATTTCTTATCCACAAATAAAATTATGTAAATGTCCATATATATTTAATTTTCATAAATTTATTAATCTAATTTTAATTTGCGTAATAATTAACCTAATCAAAGTGTCCTAATTTAACTAAGTCATCCTCTCTACCGTTTCGTAAAAAAAAAAAAAAATAAGTCATCTAAAAAGCCTAAGTGTTGAACTCGGCCAACACATTTCTATGCCCTCTCTGCCCCCAACCAACCTAGGACCTAAGACCCGATTTTCATTAGCCAAGGATCCCAAGACCAGGTCCAAGCAAGGCCCTAACCATTTTCGAACATGTCAAGAAGAAAAGATCTTGGCTACTTTGAATCCAAATGTAACTTCCATTTGATGAGTAAAGATCATACCTTACTTAGCCATTTTTGTAACCTCATCAAACATTGAATCTAGCCATTTTTGAAAGGTAAAAATTTGCTATATTTTAGTCAATTGGTAATCTTTAAGAGATCCTCTTCAATCAGCCGTTTCACCCTTGAAAAGAGCCCCAAAGATTCCCAAAAATGGCCAGACAAGTTTTTCATGTTGTAATGCCCCATTTATTTGTGGTTTATTTGTAGATTATTTGAGAATACTATTATTATTTTTATTGTTATTATTATTATTAATATTATTAATTGCCAAAATGTAATTAAATGCTAATCTTCTAAATGTCTAAATGATTTATATTTATTATTTATAATGTGTACAGGTGTATTAATATATATGTAAAATATATTTATTGTTCGATTTTTTTTATCGCGCGTTAATACCGAAGGTTGGGCCCGAGAATATTTGTTTGAACCGAAATCGAGCTCGTGAGCTGAGTTATTTTCTCGAAACCTGCACGTGAACCGGCCCTGACCCAGTTTGCGATTTTAGAAAAGGTTTAAAAACTCCAATTTAGTCGCGGCCTGTGTGTAATTTCTGAAATTGGCCTAGGGCCTGTTTGTAAGTCTGAAAATTTGGTTAAGGGCCTGTTTGGCTGTATTCAAAATTTAAAATTTTGAAAATTTTGAAAAAAAATAGTATTTTGCTTGTTTTAAACTAGTACGTAGCCCGTGCGATGCACGAGACATAAATATTAAATGAGTCATTTCTACAGAGCTTGTCTGTTAAGTAACTTGTGTGATTCACGGGAGATATTAAATGAGTGGACAATAGGGCTTGTCAGTTAAGGCTTAAAAAAATAATAGAGTTTGATCATCTATTTTTTACCTCTTTCATCAACGTCATCTTTTTTGTCGAGGCATTAAACCTGAGCCTGGTAGTGGTAGCGCTGGACCGTAAATTAATTAATATATTATCTCGCTCACATGTTTATAATAATATAAATTTTATTTCATTATATATATTTATTCCTTGATATAAGAAAAATAACAATTGTACGTAATCTTGTTCCTCGTATAATACTCATATTATTTTATTAGAAAATTTATTGTAATAGCATGCTGACCCGTTTATATTATTATAAATAATATTTTAACATATATATTTATTTTTTAATACAAAATAATAATAATTTTACATATTTTGGTTCATCATAATACTCAATTATTAATCTATCAAAAAATCTATTATCATATAATGTCATTATTATTTATAACACTTGTAGAAGTAATATATTTGTTATATAATGATAAATATGTAATGTATATTAATATTATTTAGTGATGTAATTAATTTAAAAAGATATAAGCAAATTTAATATTTGGTAGGAATGTGATTATATGTAAGTTGAGATAAAATGAAATNTNT